CCCCCCCTTCTCCGCCCCCCTCCCCGCAGCGCACAGAAAGATGAACTGACAAGAGGTGAGAAGGGTAGAGGGCCCAGCGCTCTCTCGGGTGGGGAGTCAGTGGGCCGGAGCTCGGATCGCGCCGAGCTGGAAGGGTAGGAGCCCAGCCGGCATCGCAGCCCAGGCTCCCCCAGGAGCTTTCACAGCACAGCCCCTGCTGTGGTGCCAGCGTGGAGCGCAGAGCGCAGTGGCGTAGGACTGGGCTGGGCCACCCGCTCTCCAGGCTCCGCTGGAGAGGAAAGTGCGCAGAGGGCTGACTGGCAGGAACCTGGTGGGCGTGGAGAAGACGGGGCAAGAAAAGAAACTTCCCTTCTCCGCGGAGGGTCTCGGAAGCCCCCTACCTCCACCCACCTCCCCCACACTGGCTCCTAGCTCGGCCCTGAGGAGCTTCTGTAATTCGACGCCCGGTGGCCGGGGGAGCCCTGCGAGCTGAGCCCGCCGGAAAGGGCCGGGGCTGGCCGCGCTCGTCTCCCTCCCTCCCGCCTCGCTCTCCGCCCCTTTCTCCTCCCCACCCGGCTTTGCTCTGGGAGCCCTACGGGATCCCGAGCCGCTCGGCCGCTGGATTTTGAGGGGTAGGAGGCGGGGGAGAGAGATGACGCTGGCGGACGTGGCCAGCGTGGGGGCCGGGCCGTGCGCTGCAGGCCATCTGCCGGCCCTGCAGGACCCCGGAGCCTGCGTGCTCCGGGGGGGCCTCACCGGGCGAGACCACGGCTCCCGCAAAGTACGCTGACCTCCCCCCTCCCTCAGCGTTTCTCCTTTTCTTGGGGGGGGGTGATGTTAGGAGTTTGTAGAGCTTCCTTTATTCACACACCCCCTTCTGCAGCACGTCTGAAGTGGGGGTGTGGGCTGGCAGGTGGGAGGGGCGGCGGACAGATGGCTGATGGTGGAGGGGACATTTTGTTCTTCCCCAGCAACACCCCCTCTTCTTTGTAACTGACTGTGTAGTTCCTTGTGTGAACCTTCAAGTCTTTCCCTAGGGAGACACGTGCAAATCCGAACGTCATCCCAGGCCAGGGGTCCTGTTCTCCATCACTGGCATCCTACCCTGATGCTGACGGGTCGTTAATTGCTGTTTACTATTAGGTTTCGTGTCAACCCTTGGCTCGTAAAGAGAAAAGGCCAAGCAGAGGCCGAGAACTGATGCATTCTTAGGTAAAAGAAATCCAGAGACCATCCAGGAAGCTTTGCAGCCAATGATGTACAGGTTTTTACTCTGACCATGTTTACCACGTGGGAATCCGACAGATGAAGCTTATCTGAGAATTGTATGTGGATTTGGGGATCCCACGCCCCTCTAGCTTTCCCTGCCCAGTTAGAAGAAGGAAGTTTTGCTTAAGGCAGGCACATTTCACAGGTGCTAGTAAACCTTTCAGGTTTCTACGTTCTGTTCCCCCAAAACCTGCCCCCCCCCAGAAGGGAAAACTTGCAGACAGTAGCAAAGAAACATTTCCCCTAAAGATTTCCTTTTGAAAAGGTATTGTTATGTGACCTTTGACCTATCCCCAATCACGGTTAAGAGGGAGCACAGGCCGGCAAAGTCTCTCCCGCCCCAATCTCAGCACCTGGGAACGTCATCCTGCAGAAGGGACTGAGCAAGGCGGCCCTCCTGGAGGCGGCTTCCCTGAGAGCGCCGAGGCCTCCAGCGCTGGGGAGAGAAGGGGCTCCTATGGGGGAGGAGGCGGGAGGAGGGGGTTTGTGCTGGCGTAGCGGGTAATCTGCTCTCCGAGCCAGGCTCCTTGGTACGTTCTCCCCCTTGGCCTCCTTCCTGCCCCTCTGTCGGCCTCCCGGGTTTACGCGACCCCCCTCGGCCGCAGCGCTCGTGCCACAAAGCCATCCCCGGACGCAGGCGGTCTCCCTCTGCTAGCTCTCGGCCTCCGCGCGCCTCTCTGCTCTCCTGCTCCCTGCGCGGCTCTTCTCAGGGCCGGTGGGGGTGGATGCCTTTCCTGGAATCCCAGGCTTGCCCTGGCACACGCGCATGCACGCGTGGGGCGGCCCA